ATTGCGACATACAACAAAAGATTCTCTTTCATTTTATGTTTGTTTGCTTCATGTACAGTACAAATGTCTACTTGTTGCTGTGCATCTTCTGCCAGGACGTCACCCTCCAAGCACGTGCCAATCAGCAGTAGACAAATATCATAATATAATCGTTATATTCATCCTTTCACAGAGCAATAAATACAAATTCCTTTCACATCTCAAAATTTGCCCGATGTTCTTATGACTTTCATTGCCTTTTACATTCAAATTAAAACAATCAAACGGATTCACTTAAGTATTAAACGAATGAATTTATTTTACCAAGAAGAGTAAGTGATTCAGTTCAATTCGTGCCAACTTTTTTTGGTGTCGTGTATTTTTGTTCTCTTTTGTAAAAATTATTTTCATACCGCATGAAAGTACACCATTCAATGTTTAATGTAACCTTTAAATGATCACGGAGTATGCCAATCGCATTTTTTCGTTTCTCGACAATATGTGCATCATATTGCATTATCGCTCCTTCAATTGGCTGCTTATGTCAGTGTGCCATGGCACTTCCAACGAAAGGAAGGAAAAGATTAATATATCGTTTCTTCAAAATATTTTTCTTTGCAGTAATTCCTTTGAACGAGTGTTTAGTCCTTCAGTAGTCTGCTTTGTTACGGTGCACTGTCCTTTCCAGCTTTAAGCCTTTCAAGGATTCGACATGCTCGAGCATTCTAATTTTATCTGCAAAGCATATAAGAAAACCTTCCCTTCCAGCACACCAGAACTTATCCTACAGGACCACCAAAACCGCTGAAAGTGAAGAAATCTATTCTTTGCCATTTGTACAGAATGTTTCTTAATCAAATTTAACTTAATCTAGTCGAAATCAGTAGCTAGTGACCGCCTTTGCACATTCTCAGTGGTCGTTTCGTAACATAGAATCATGTCTGTTTCAACTTAAAAGTTTTTCAGGTGATCCAATTTTCAATTGGTTGAGATGGTCAATTCAAAGCATTTACAAAGCATCACCATTTATTAAACGAGATTAGCTTGAATAATTTAAAATAATAACCATGTTGAAATATATACTGTCTGGCGTCACAGAAACTGACAAGACATTTTGAATGTTCGTTTGCGTAGCGAAGGTCACTTCCTAGAACAGTGATTTTTCCTGATCCCTTTACATCCGACGAAGTAAAAGACGAAAGTCAAATATCCGAAGTACTGAACCCGTGAACTTTTTACCGAAAACCATTGTGTCCGTTCTGCAGGCCCGGGGTGGGTGTGTTTTGTCTTCCCATTGTTCTCAGAAGCCCATTTCTCATGCAGGTAAAGGACACATTTCACGTTTATCGGGCGGAAACCACGGCGGACGCTTCGGCGCGGACAAGTGTGAAACGGAGCGCGCCGCCGCCGCCGCTCCGCACTCGCGGCTTCGTTTGTCAGCGAGTGTTTTTGATCGATTCCCCCGGAGGACGCGCCATTCGCCGCGATTCGAGGCGCTGCCGGCCCGGGGGGTGTGAAATCGCCCCCCCCTCCCCCCGTGTAATTGCGGGTCACGGACGCTAGGCGGTGCCGACAACGACGCGACGGCCCCTGGCGACAACAGCGCTCGCCGCTGCTCCGCGCGCTTAACTCCCTTAGACTGTTTGGGGTCGTTTTTGACCCCAGGGGCAAGTAATGTTTTGCAACACTGAAAATTATTCACATAAACTTGTCCTTTTAATTTTTTTTTTTTTTTCACAGTTTTGGATTGTTAAAAAATCAGCTTTCTGTTGCCCAAAATTCTTATACTTTGTATAATTTTAATTTTATTGTTCTACGTGTCTGTATTTTCATAATCCTTGTCTGTTAAATTCTTCTCTTTCAAAAGTCTCAATTTCTCCCAACCATCTCTGCTTACGTTTTCCTCTTTTCTTTCTACCCACATGATACCACTCTAAAATTATTTTTGGATACATATTTTTTTAACATGTCCAAACCATTGTAAATTTTTTTTGTGTAGTTTCTAAAATTGTTAGAACTTTTCATTTTTCTCTTATTTTTAAATTACGTATTTTATCTAATTCTCCTTTTAGATATGCTATTAATGTCCAGTTTTACGTGTGTTGTAAACTTTCAGTTTTTTAGTTTTTGTTTGTTTGTTGTAAATAATGTAATTTTTGTATGCTTGGTATCAGAAATTACACATTTGGCGTCTACATTACAAAAGATAAATTATTAAATGCGTCCATTTCCCTTTTGAAGTATTATGATTCGGTTTCTGAATCATAATTTGAGGTGCTGGTCCATTACGATTTCGTAGCTCTGTTTCGAATATTCTCATGCTGGTAAGAATGAGTTTAGTTATGAAGATTATACTTGAATGTGTTTTCTGCTGTAAACAACATTGTTCTTTGTTGTTTAGTACGATATAGTGAATCCGGATCTTTGGCTCGACAGTCCCATATGGTCCTTCGCCGACCAGCAGTGGCCAAGCGTCGGCCATGAGATAAGGAGTTCGTGTGGTTAGCACGAGACATCCCTCCACCGTATATACTGGTCTTCATAACCTTATGTGGCTTTCTCTTCGTCACACAACAATAGATATTGGGGCATTTGTAAGCAAAGCACACAGTTATAATTTTGCCGCGGCCGGGAATCGAACTCGGGGTTGCCAGGGATAATGGGTACGGTAACCAAAGAGCCACCGATGGCTTGATATAGTGTGTCAAGGGAATAAACAGCAATACATTCTCAACTAATAATTCCAACAAAAAAACATACTTCAAATGCTTCTAAACTATTGTGGAAAAAGTTTGGGGTCGAAAATGACCCGAAACCGCATCCACGTAAGAATTAAAGAAACAGTGGAAGGGAAGGCTGCGTGCCGCGCAGCATCACTCGCCACTCATAATGAATGCCGTATTTATTTGAAGTAAAGGAGGCGCTCTAGAAATAAATTGCGCTTACTTTGAAGCCGCGGTAACGTTATATAGAAGGGGATAAATAACTGGAATTGCCCCGATA